AAATTGTATGGATATCTATTAGAAATTAAACTAGAAGAAGAACAAGTTAAAGAAACTATGATTGCTTGGGGGAAGAATTTTGGATATGGGATTGATCTAGAGAAATGGCAAAAATTGTGGTCTCAAAATTATAAAATGACAATGTCAATAGCATATAAAGAAAATTTGTATAGATGTTTTACAGGTGGCATTTCCCCCCGACAAGAATAGCAAGAATGTTCAAGAACAAATCTGAAAAATGTTGGAAATGTCATCAGACACCTGGCTCATATTACCATATGTGGTGGACTTGTGCGGATGCTAAAAAATATTGGACTAAAATCCACACGTGGTTGGAAAAAATGATAAAAAAGCATATAGATTTGAAACCAGAGATATTTTTATTGGAAATTTTATCTGAAATATATAGTAAAGAATTGAAATACCTGATTGTAAATGTATTAACAGCGGCTAGGATTGTATTTGCTAAAAACTGGAAAAATGAGAAAACACTATCACAGGAGGAAATCATTAAGAAAATATTGGAATGTGCTGAAATGAGTAGATTGACATTTGAAATCAGAGAACAAGATGATAAACAATTTTATAAAATTTGGGATCTATTATATCAGTGGTTAGACAATAAAACATGGTAATGAAATATGTAGATTCTTAGAAAATAATAAATATATAAAGATGTATTCTTTTCTTATATCTTCAAAATGATTATAGGATAGATTTGAGATCATAATATGAACTGTCATAAAACAAATTAAATAAAGTATGATTATTTCGTAAAACATGAATGAATAAAAGTATAGTCAAATGATTGATTAACAATGATATTTATGTATTTAATACTTGATTGAAAATATGAGAATATATACAATGTAATTGTAATTGAAGATTACGAAATGGAAGCACAAAACAATTTGTAAACCAACCGGCACACTGTATGTATATATATATGGAAGATGGCTTGATGTTTTTATGTTTTGTTTGTCTATGTTCGTCTTAAAAACCAATAAAAATTTAAATAATAATAATAATCATCATCATCATCATCATAAAAGTAAAAAAAACCAGATGTACTTAACCATTGTGACATATAATTTTTTGTTTACTGCTTACTCTTATGTCTAAATCAGGCAACTATGGCTTATTTAATTAACTATTTTTAAAAAATTCCAAGTTTAGAGAAAGATGTGAACCCACACAGGTGAAAAAGGATGAGCCAAGATAACTGCATACAAGAGTTGGAGACAAAAGTACACCATGAACTAAAAAAAAGCAAAGAAACTAAAATGACAACCAAATGAGAAGCTTGTCTGTTGAAACTTATATTGCTATTTAAGGGTTGCCTGATATGCCCAAAAGAAGGGTAAGGAGGAATTACCTTTTCCCCATCATTATACTGATGTGGTTACCTGCTTGGTAGGCTCATTTTATTGAGATCTTTGGTGATACAGTGGATGGTGAGTGGTTGCATATGATGGTCTTGGCTAGTTTGGTGGATGGCCAACATTGTACCAGTTCGCTGGGCCAGCAGAGGAACCAGAGTATGCTAATGATACTTACCCCTACCCCTGGCCATGCAGGCGATGCTGTTGCAGTGCTATCCAAGTACCTGGAGGCTTGTTGGGCATAAATCAACTGCAGCTCAAACCTAGCAACAGAGAGTAGCTTTGTGTTTTTGGCTCTCTTTGGTCTGATGATGTGTTATCTTTGCTGTTGAATGCGGTTGTACTCTCCTGCACTGAATTGGTGAGCAATTTGGGTATCCCTGTATTCATGGTGCCTGCTTGATGAGCAGTGGCAGCCATAGCTAGGTGGGCCTTTGCGGAGATCCATTTTGTGAGCCAAGTGCACCCTTTTCTGGAGCAGTCAGTACCCACACCTTAATTTCCTGGTTTGATGATTTCTATGTGCTTTACATAAAGCAAAATGGTAGTGCATCCTAAGGGGAGGGTTAAGGCACAAGGTTTTTGTTTCATTATTTTACTACAGGTAGTCCTCAACTTACAACAGTTCATTTAGTGACTGGAGTTACAACAGCACTGAAAAAAGTGATTATGAGCATTTTTCACACTTACAACCATCGCAGCATCTGCCCCATGGTCATGTGATCAAAATTCAGATGCTTGGCATCTGACTCATATTTATGATGGCCGCAGTGTCCCGGGGGTCATGTGATCCCCTTTTGTGACCTTCTGACAAGCAAAGACAATGGGGAAACCAGATTCACTTAACAACCATGTTACTAACTTAACTGCATTGATTCACTTAAGAACTGTGGCAGGAAAGGTCATACAATGGGACAAAATTCACTTAACAAATGTCTCACTTAGCAGCAGAAATGTTGTGCTCAATTGTGGTCAAAGGTTGAGGACTACCTTATTTTTATTATTGTTTTATAGTTATTGATTTTATTATTGCTGTGAACTACCCAGAATTACTGGCTCTGTAAATCATATAAATAAATAAAGAGCACCTTGTTAAAAAATGTCTGTTTTCTTTTATGTGGGCAACAGAGATTGGATGATACATTCCTTCTTTTTTTAGCTCCTTGGTCTCAATCTAAATCTGGAGTTTATTTTAACAAAGCACTTGAGTAAATGTAAGTTTATCTATACCAGCAGTCCCCAACCTTTGTGGCTTGGAGGTCTGGCTCAGGGCAGAAGGGGAACTAGGCTGCATGAATGGCAGGCACACAGCTATGTGGTGCTACACAGAGGTGGTATTCAGCAGGTTCTGACCAGTTCTGGAGAACCGGAAATTTTGAGTGGTTTGGAGAACTGGCAAATACCACCTCTGACTGGCCCCGCCCCCATCTATTCTCTGCCTCCGGAGTCCCACATGATCGGCTGGGTCTTCTTTTGTTGCCCTGCACAGGAGAACGGAGCTGGAAAGCAGGTTAGTGGTGTGAGGAGAGAATGGGGATCTTACAGTATCTTTCCCCTGCCATGCTCACCAAGCCATGCCCATCAAGCCATGGCACACCCACCAAGTCACGCCCACAGAACAGTTAGTAAAAAAAATTGAATCCCATCACTGGTGCTACAGAACTGGAACTTAGAGATTCTAATATCTCTTCCAATATGTCCTCCCTTTCTTCTTGGAATAAATTGTGTATTGCATTTTTTTTAACACTGTGGCAGCAGAAGCATTTAGAATGTGTTTATTTATTTACCTCAGGAAGAACTCATAATTGTTCTAAGTAAAGTTCTTTTATCCTTTGGCCTAGAAAAATATAAGGTATTGTCTCTTAAATCCTCTTCCTCACATTTTGCCTATTATAAATCCTATTAAATTATCTTGCAGACCAGATTATTCTCCATAATAACTATTCTGTACAAACACTATCGGAGAACATCTTAATATGTTAACTGCATGTACATATGGATTCCCATTAGAATAGTATATTATTGATAATTTTCAAAAATATGCTCCATATAATAGCTTTGAATATTAAAGAAACAAAACAGAGGCACCTGAAGCTGCTGTTCTAGATCTGGAAAAGCCAAATGAAAGGCATTCTCTGGAGGTGAATCATCTGAAATAAAAACATAAAGATTATGAATTCATGATATAAAGATTAGAGTTTGCTTATCTTTGTATCCTTATATGCACAGAATTAACATTTTGACTGACATTTTATCACATTTTATAGACTGTCTCCATATCTCTAGAATATATGTGTAGTTTTAATAAAGATATGTACATGTGTCTATCCAATATAATTTTTTTACAATCTATCCAATCATACCATTTATCCCAAATTAAATAGTATTCAGAATCATCTTTTTCTTTTAATTTTAATGTAAGCCTCTCCATTTTGGCACATTCATAAATTTTCTGAATAATAAAGTATAGAGGCAGTTAATCGGGCATTTTCCAATAGTATGTCAGTGAAATTTGTGCCGCTGTTAAGATGTGGATAATCAAGTACCTTACTTTAAAAGAATAGTCCCCTTTAATTATACCCAGGAGGAACAATTCAGGTTTCCACTCCAATCCGCCTTGGATAATTTCCTCTATCCATAATTTAATCCTAATCCAATTTTTTTTGACTTCTGGGCATGTCCAACAGAGATGGAAGAAGGTACCATGATTTTGTCTATCCAATATAATTTATCACTGAAAATATAATCCTTAAATTTTTTCACAGCCAGTTATATCCTGAATCTTCTATTGGATTCCTCGATGACATGTGAAGGAAGAATGGTTAGGTACTTCTCCCTTCTCTCTTGTAGTTGATATTGCTTATTAATTAAGCTTTCTGTTCCAATTTGGGGAGAAGAGTGACGTGAACCAAGCTCCCCTATAATGTTGCACCTTAGTGGAAAGAGGTTGCCTTTGCTGCTTCTTTGTAAATAGAAAAGACAGTTGCTGAGCTACTAGAAACAATCATTCTATATTTGAGGATTCACCGTCTCCAGTTACAGGAAACCATTGTAGTCACCCGCTCAGTGCTAATGTATTTTACAATACAACTCTTAACATTTCTTTAGTCCCCAAATGCTAAACACTATAGACTATAATGCCAAACATTGCTGCCAGAGGATCAGAAGCCAAGGAGCAGCCTGTAATCCCAAGTATGGTCAGAGATGGAAGCAATGATCATTGACCAAGAAGTATCAGTAACACAAGATCAAAGTCTTGGAAAACAGGGAGTGGAAGAAGGAACAGAGATACAGTGCTTCTGCAATGACCTTAGGTCAGCACTAGTACATAACTAACAGAACTCTTAAAAAAGTAATGCAATCATAGTCATTCTGAATATTTCTTGGGGTTTAACTGGCTTATGTTTTTTGTCTCAAGCAAAAAATGTGCTGTTAGCTGGTTCTAGTTGAAACTTGGATTGACTCACCCTCTGCTTCTGTGTTCATGTGTTCTAAGATAATGGTTTAAATCAGTGGCCCCCAACCTTTTTTGTGCCGTGGCCCGGTACTGGCATCACAAAATCATCCGTGGCCTGGTACCGGCATCAGCACACATGGCAAGGCGAGCCGAGCGACCAGCCAGCCAGCCGTCCCCGCTTCTCCCCGCCACCTTCAACTCCTCCTTTGTACTTGTGTCGATGGGCTTCAGGATGGCTTTGGGACGGTCGCTCGGCTCGCCTTGCCATGCGTGCTGAAAGAATCCTCGCGCCTTAGTTTTGTTCGAAGCTGCCACCCCCCCCCCCCAATGAAACTAAGGTGCGACGATTCTTTCAGCACCCAAAAGCTGCTTTCTACCCGGAAAAGCTCACCGGAAGCACTTTTTCATCAAAACAAGATGGCGGCGCCCAGCAAACCGGCGCCCCAGTAGAAATTGTTCCACGGACCGGTACTGGTCCAGGGACCGGTGGTTGGGGACCCCTGGTTTAAATAACCCAACATTGTGTTCATAATATGCAAAACTGAATGCAAACAATGATTTGTAAACAAATATGAGTTTGTTGGGTAAAACAGGCAAATTCTATTTATATATTTTGTAAAGTATGTCTTAAGAGAGCGTATCAAGAGAAACAGCAGATAGAGAGATGTTGTGTAAAAAAAAAACCTGGTTCGTGGGACATGATGTCCGAACAAGGTGATGACTTCTTGGTCGCTGACTCTGACCCTAAAGGGGTTCCTAAAAATACTAAGGTCTTTGCTTGCCATGAATTAATTTGTCTTACATTTCTGTCTTATATTTATTCTGTATGACATATATTGTCTTACATTGCTGTAGATTCTTTTCCCTGGATAAAATATATCAAGTCCTTTGATTTTTTTTTACAAGTCCATTATTCATTATTAATATACATTATATAATATTAGTAATTTAATTTAAACTACTCTCCAAAAACCTCTAAAAGCTGGAAGCTTTTGTAATGTTTATAAAACTATTATTTCTTCTTGAATCTTAATGGCACCATATAGCATTTCTAGATTTACACAATTTGCCAATGTATGACTTGTTGAAATATGGTTGCTTACATAAGCTGAAAGAGAGGCCTCATATACACAGATACCACACTAAACCCTACTGTTATTTCTTCAGTTTTATTCCAATATGCTGTGTGAAATCAGACATTTTTCAGCTTTAATTCACTGCTGTAACTTTCCCATTAATATGTGTTTTCCTGGTGTTGGGACTGCCTTTGCTCACACAGCATATAAAGCTGTTTTTCCTGAAAAGGAAGAAACTATAAAGATTAATTAAATGAGGAATGGTGACCTCATATTTGCTTCATTATTTACATTTATTATAAAAAGACAAAGAGCTAAAAATACATATGTGCCCACTTCATACTAACATATGCAACAGATGTATTTTCTACTCTGGGATTATGTCGCAATACAAAAAAGCCTTGTCTGAAGTGTCCTAAGAGCTCCAGGAGGACCATGAAAGACTATTGGGATGTCAAGAATGAGCAGCTGGACAATAGTAACATCCTCTTTTTCTTCTGGAATGAGAATGGAATGAGCAGATCTCTGGCAAATTGCCACATGGCAGGCAGCCCAAACCAGTCTGGGTAAGGGGACAACATTGATGGATTCAATGATGAGCACTATGTTTACTCTTCCAGTGATTAGTCTGAGATATACTTCAGTGGCATGTTTTTATGTATGTTATATGGAATTGTATCTGATCAAATCACTTCTGAAAAACCTTGCAAAGAAAACCGGAGGGACTTGTCTTGGCAGTCTCCAAGAATCAGACATGATTGAACAGAAAAAAAAAAGTGGACTTGTATCTAATCTTCAGCTAATAAAACAAGGTATTTTGTTCATCATTCCTTTGGCTCATTAAATTATTTTTATAAATAACATTGACTAGAAAATGTTACAGCAAAAAAAAATTTTTTTCTTAATACCAGTGGCTTTCTGAACAGAGATAGAAGTTATTAGCTTGTTTGCTCAAAGGAAATCTTGGTGAGTTGAATGAAGTTTATTCCAACTATGTGGATAGCACAGTAGTTTTAAAAATTATCATTTACTTGATCAACTGCATTATTGACAAAATATAACAGCAGATATTCTGACATAGATATAAAGCTGCCCAAACTCCATATTTATTCTCTATGTATACTCGTCATTTTTATTTATTTATTTAGCTCCCCAGCTTACCACAGAATAACTCTGGGTGGCTTATAATGCTGAAAAGGATAAAACTATATATAATACAAGTAAAATACTATAAGAATACTCAGCCCTAACTAAAAGAGAGAGGGAGTGGGGAGTGAGTGAGGAGGGAGTGGGATCTGTTGTATTAATCTATCAACCATGTCCAGTCTGAAGCTCCTCCATTGGAGCCCCAAGCCAACTGTCAGAGCCAGATTTTTACACTCTTATGAAAGTTCAGGAAAGTTGGACCTGGAGGAACGGGTGGCTCCAACCCTCCTGATTCTTCAACAAAAGCTTAAAGAGTTTAAAGTCTAACAAGATGTTTCAAAGGGCAGGAGCAACAGCAGTAAAGGCTCTTCTGGGCCTTGCCAGCTGAATACCCTGGCCAATGGGCCTGTAGCATGCCCTCTGCCAGATGGGGTGGGCCAATCCCAATGGGATGAGATGGTTATCTCCACCAAGCCTTTTTGGATAGAAAAATAGATAGAAAGATGATGGATAGATAGAAGATAGATAGATAGATAGATAGATAGATAGATAGATAGATAGATAGATAGATAGATAGATAGA